ATAGAAATTACTTCATTAGGAAATAGAAATTATTTTATACTTTTTAGTGCATTTCGAAGTCGGTGTATTTTTTTTCTGAAAATTATTTTATTCCCCGTTAATTTCATAAGGAGAAGGAAAATGTCTTCCGTTTAGTCTTGCTGAGTAATTGTTTCCGGGTCTTATACAATGATTGCTTGGTTGTTTATATTTTTTCAATATTTGGTCGATCAATTTTAATTGAAATTTTGCAATTGATAGTGTTTTACCCGTTTTTAATTTATATAAACAATATGAGTTCCACAGACACATGTCGACCATATGAAAAAAATACTTCTTATATCATTTCGTCGTTTTTCTCGTAAAATGTATGGTGCTGATGACCATGTCAGTCTTGTCCACAACACCCATCAATTTATTGTATTCAAGTACACAAGATGGTTTCTGTACGATATTTTGTGTACTGTACCTTTTTTTACATCCGTAAATTCTGCCTTATGTACTGTAGAGTTCATCCAAACTTCCTTTTTGTCCTGCCGTTTCATGGCTAACATATTTTCTGCTGAGCGAAAGCACGCTTCACCTTTTTTCAATTATTCGTCCATTTTCGGCATCCCATTCCTTCTCTTTTTGACAGTGCCACATGCATTTATATCATTTTTGTGCAAGACATCAAATAATGCGGGACTTGTATACCAGTTGACCACGTAAAGAGTGTGGCCTTTACCCAGATATGGTTCTAGGAGGTACATTACAATGCTTCCCGATTTGCCATAATCTTTATTTTCAGGCCCTATAGTGGCATCACCCCCCGTATAAACAATAAAATCTTGAATGTAACCTCTCTTGCAGTCGCACAGAACAAACGATTTTATGCCGAATCTATTTCTTTTTGATGGGATAAACTGTTTGAAAGACAGTCTGCCTTTGTATAGTAGCAGACGCTCATCGATACATAAGTTAGAATAAGGGTAGAAGACGTTCGAAAATGCTGCTCGTAACTCATCAATGATTTTTCGGATCTTATGTAATCGATCGGAACTGAATGCTTGATCATCACTGAAGTATAACATTCGTAGAAGTAAAAAATACCGGTCTCTGTTCATTATATCGTTAAAAATATCGCTTCTCAATAATTTATCTCGGCTCCAGTGTTCTGCCAATGATAGCCTTTTGTTGCGGGTCATCAAAAAACATATTGCAATTGTGGGAATCGCATAAGGGTAAACACAATAATCAAGTCTATGTTGCGTTCCACACAAATTTATTAAAATGCGTACGAGCAGTGAAAACGATGTAAGCTATAAGAATGACTCTGACGGACTGTCCCGTCGCTGGTTAAAACCTCTCCTCGAAAACTCACCAGTAAAAGAAGAAAGAAACAGTTTAGAAAGAGAGAAAATATAGAAATTGGGAAAATTCAGAAAAACCGTTGAAAGTTCGGAAAAGGAGAGGTACAGCGGAAGAGAATCATAAAACAGAAAGTGAAGAGGTTCGCAAGGGCCTGAGCGTTGACACTGACCAGGCCCCGGCGAGACCCTATAGAAAGTGAAAACAATTAGAGAACGTAAAGCTAAAGAAGATAGAAAACAGGAAACAGAATTTTAGAAAACAGAAAGAATATAGAAAACAGAAAAGGCAATAGCGTATGTGGTGCCAAGGGCGCCACACAATAAAGCAGTACAGTTCACTTATTGGGCATCAATATAAAACTCGTCCGCAAGATTCAGCTACGTCTAGCTCAAGAGAAGTTAGGAAGAAAAAGGAATATCATCAATATAAAACTCGACCACGAGATTCAGCTACGTCTAGCTCCAGAGAAATTAAAAGAAGAAAAGAATGGCATCAGTATGAAACCCGACCACGGGAATCAACGACCAGTTCACGAGAGGTTAAAAGAAAGAAGAAATTTCACCAATACCCTACGCGTCCATTAGAAGACATAGGTATTGATCAATTACCAAATAAACGAAGAAGGAAAATAAAGCAAGAAGAAACCTCTGATGAATCGAACTATTACGATACGGACGATTCAGACGACGAAATTATTAGCCAAAAAGGAAATGAAGATTTTAAGATGGAAGTACAAGCAGAAATACATCAACCACCCTCAGAATTTAAAGTAAAAACTCCGCCACCATTAATTTTGAGGAAAAACGATCCTGTAGTAATTGGGGATGAAAGAGAAGAGTTCAATGAAGATACCATCATTCCCAAGCACCTATTCAAAGATCCTCCCAAAATTAACGCCGACTCTTCCTCTCCAGAATCCTCAAAAGAAGAAACTCCTCCTTATAAACCTGAAATATTAAATAAATCCGGTCCAGCAACCCCAATTAAAATCAAAAAGGAAGATGGAGAACTTACTGTTAGTAAAGCAAGGAAACCAAAAATAACAAAAGAAGTAGTGAGTTCTATAGCTGAAGTTAAAGATCATCTATGGACTAGGAAGGGACCGATACACAGTGGGCCAGCGCGGCGAATTAGCTGTTCACGGCCAATTGTAGCGCTATTTGAAGACTTCAAACGAAAGTATAGCGGTCGCTGTGTCGTTCCAGCATTTAAAACAAGTATTATTATTACATTTAATCATACCGGATTATTTTCTTACCGAAAAAATTAAAAATAAAACAAAAATAAGTGTTATATTTCAAAAAGTTAGTTAATATACTATACTCTCAATGTGGACGTTTGGTTTATAAGCATATTTTTTATTAACATAAACATAATTTTAACAACAATTCTTATTAATAGAAATAGATACATTTTTTACTAACTTTGTACAATAATTTGTTAATCTAAAATTTATTTGTTATTAATTAGTTATGTATCATCGTCGTCATCGTCTTGCAGGTCTTCTTGTAACATTAACTTTTGTATCTCGTCTTTGAAAATATCAAAACGAGAACGCGTTTTATAAATTTTTCTATTGTCTGCCGAAATGGAAGATATTAAAATATCGGATGTATATGATAAGGTGTGGAAAAGGTCCGTTAATGTTTCCAGCCATGAAAATTTTCGAGTGTGGTCCCTTCTGATATTTCGGAAATCTTTATTCCGTGCTTCTATTGCTTCCTCCGAAAACATCCCAATGGGCAATCCTGCACTTTGCATTATGTCTGCTCCATGCAGTAGTATTTTATGTAAGCTTGATGGCATGTAAAACCAATTGTATTCCGATACATACAAGTTGAACGTTGCCATTGCATATTCTTGAAATAAAACGGCGTCAATTTGCTTATAGCTCGATAAAGCCACTAAGATAACTCCAATTTTTTTGATGAGGTCTGCGTTTACACCTGTAATATTATTTATTATTGATTATTGTATTATTTAATTACTTTGCTATTTACTACTTACTCTTTATTATATGAGATAATGAAATACCTGTAATATTTGCCACTGTAACGTAATTTTGGAAAAATATTCTCGCCACATTTCCGGTATTCGTGGTACCGGAACCTGGCTTCGGGATGTCGACTAATATACGTAATTCCTCTTTTAATTTTGTTTGAATTATTTTCTTTCTTTCTTCA